CCTGTGGTTCTGGATGATGTCCATTTTGTCTTTTCGTTGTATTTTTGAAGTTGTTGTGGGAGGCAGCAATTTCCCAGTGTTTACCTATGCCGCCATCTTAGTTTCTCTCCTCATCATTGAATCTTAATGTGCCCCATAGGGCCAGGAAGCCAAGCCATCCAGCTGCCGTCAGGCCTGCCTGCAGTGTCTGCTGAGTTAGGAGAATTCCTCATCTGCAGTGGCTCTACCTGGGCCCATGCCCTAGGCCAGGGTTGGTAAACTGCGGCTCGCTAGCCACATGCGTCTCTTTGGCCCCTTGACAGGGTTGGTAAACTGCGGCTCTCTAGCCACATGCGTCTCTTTGGCCCCTTGAGTGTGGCTCTTCCACAAAATACCACGTGTGGGTGTGCGTACAGTGCGATTGAAACTTCGTGGCCCATGCACAGAAGTCGGTTTTCGGCCTGGGCGAGTCTATTTTGAAGAAGTACTGTTGATATTTGGCTCTGTTGACTAATGAGTTTGCCGACCACTGCCCTAGGCTTTAAGGCCCATCTCAGTAGCCCTCCTACTCCTTGCAGCCTAGAGTGTGTGGGGGTCCCACAGGGACCCAGAGGCACCCTTATTGCCCCCCTTCTATTCTGACTAACCGCCAGCAATGGCAGGATATGGGCCTGATGCTTCAGTGCCATCTATTTTTCAGGGCTACCTAGTAGGATACCAGGCTTTCTCCATGCCACTCTTATTGGCTTCAAGTCTTCAGAGTTTAGACAGGGCTCTTTAAAAGATGATACTCCAGTCAAAGTTTTTGGTCAATAAAGCCACTATCGGAAACCGGTCTTATTGAATTAATGCAAAGGAATGCATTGCCATGATTTATTTATTAAGAATTGCTAAATTTCGTAGGGATTATATAAGGAGAAAAATATACTGACCTGCTTTAAGATTTTCTGATTTTCCTTGTCAGTCCTTTTTATGGACTTTTCAGAGTAATATTTTTCTAAATGTATTATAACAAAACAGTAACTGTCTTCAAATGGCAAGAAGAAATTTAAAATGTGTCTATATTCATATAGATAGTCATAGCTGTCCCTGTAGTAGGGTTCCCCCTACTTGACTTGTCCTTAAACTATATATGGTCTCTGGGAGGGGTGACATGCCCTCTCAGAATGGACTAAGGGAGCTTTATGCCTTCACAGGGTCTTTTATGTTACAGGACCTCACAAGGTCTATAATTCCTGTGACAGAGGGCTGGTACTCACTACTTCCCCGTTCTAAATAGGCCTTCCGCATTTTCCTAAAGTTGAGGTTTGTACCACCGCTGATATGGGCATGGTCACACAGGCCTGCAAGGCAGTACACAGGCTGCCAACTGGCTTTCAATAGAGACTGAAACCCGATGGGTATTTTTCCTTGACTATTTGGGCACCTGCCCTTTTGGCAACTGCATTCAAATCTGTAAGAGAATTAAAGGTTAATATAACATATTAACATAATGAAGTACAATATGGCTACTTCAGGCAGCCAAATTTTCTGCTACCAAACATGACATATGGTAGGGCTATACAAACATTTCAGGGAGGTAACTAAAGTCTATTTTTTTACCTTCCCACACAAGGCAAAATTTGTTTTTGTCTCTTTGGAGTTATGTCCATGAAGACACAGGTATCATGTAAGTCCATTATACAGTTTTCTTTTTAAAAAATATATTTTATTGATTTTTTTTATAGAGAGGAAGGGAGAGGGATAGAGAGTAAGAAACATAGATCAGCTGCCTCCTGCACAACTCCTACTGGGGATGTGCCCGCAACCAAGGTACATGCCCTTGACTGGAATCGAACCTGGGACCTTTCGGTCCGCAGGCTGTTGCTCTATCCACTGAGCCAAATGGTTAGGGCCATTATACAGTTTTCTTCAGGCCATTGTCAGCTGCAGTTGAAATGCTGAAGTTTTAACCCTTTCAGCACAGTTGCAAATGGGAAATTTGACCAGCTTCATCCCCAGCCACTTTTACAGATACCAGGGCCCAGATGTTTATCTTCTTTTAACCAGCAAGCCAAATGCTTAAGTTTTTTATTATGTGTTGTAAAACACTCATAATATACTGGGCAGCAATTTGGGTGTCAGGTAACTGGCCTGTATTATTTAATAAATTTCTTTTTAATATACTTTTTATTGTACGTATAATTTTAAAAAACTTTATACTTTCAAATTAGTCTTTAAATTTTCTTTCTATGTCTTTTAAAAATGCATAATCATGTCTTAGTCCTTCTATTAAGTATTTCTACTTAAATATTTTTTCTTTCTGTCATACTATCAGCAACTTGTCCTTTTTTTATTCTTTAAAATGTACTAGAATTTTTTATTTTTAGAAACCTTAATTTTTTTCAATAATTATTAAAAAGTAAACAACCAGCATTTTTTAGATGTTTTAGATCTAAATGTTTTAGATTAACATTTATGAACATATTTTAAATGTACTTTCATTTTCAAGAAAATATACCTTTAACAAAGTTTAAGAGACCTTCTGAGAGGAGAAACCAAGATGGCGGCATAGGTAAACACCGGAAATTGCTGCCTCGCACAACCACTTCAAAAATACAACTAAAAGATAAAATGGACATCATCCAGAACCACAGAAAGGCTGGCTGAGTGGAAATTCTACAACTAGAAGGAAAGAGAAAAGCACACTGAGACTCAGAGGAGG